CTCTCCATTTTTCTATCAGCACGTTTCAGGAATAGTCCTGTATCTATAATGGAGCTTCTGCGGACATTCACTGAAGACAACTTAGTAGTGCAGGTGTCTTTTTTCAAACCATTCATCCTATTTGGAGCGCATTCTAATAATTAACACCAGATTCTCGAAGTATGCGATCGGGTAGCTGATGACGAGAACCTCGCTCAGCAATGGGCCAATGACAGACCTCTCCTCGATGCGAACGCCAACAGTTCAAATCCGGAGATTGGTGCGCGCTTTGAGTTTGATTCCTTCTCTTTTCGTAGTCTTGATTAATATCATATTTTGGCGGCGCAGCAGGATTTCCAAGGACTTGCCGCTTTTGTATTAGGAATGCAAAGGATTCCTGCAGCAATTCCAGCTTTTCTTGCCAAAAAGCGAATTTAGCTGCAGTATATCGAAGTAAAAGATGAAGTTGTTCGTAGCATGATTTTTCTCAAAACTTGTCTTATTACACTCAGATATTTGTGAAACCTAGAAAAAAAAACAAAAAACTTAAATCTTAGTTGAGAGTAAATGATGCGGGGAGTTCAAATCAATCATAGTTGATTTCCGATCACATCGAAGTTCCATGCTCTCAATTATTGATGTTTTCGAACTTCGGGAATTAACACATTTTCCACTTCTTTTGCACCTGACACCTTTACTTTCTTCTCATTGATAAGGGTAAAACATGTAGCACTGCAGGATTGATTTCTAGATTTAAGCGTCTAATAAACTCCTCTACGGAAAAGCAGCAAAGTGCTGAGAACTCCTGCGCGCTCTCCTCGTTTGTCTACTGAGTATCAATGTTCAATTTTTAGCTCGAGCTGCTCAATCTTTGGTATCCAAGCTAAGTGTGGTTAATTCGGATTTTGAACCGTTGGCTGGGGTGTTTGCATCAATGGGTTCAGAGGGTTTCTCAATGGAGATGTGAGTGATGCAATGTTTGTGAGCCCATGGAGCCGATTCGTGCAGTTTATCCCAGTTGAGACCGCCGTTCCCTCATGAGAGCGATCGGCATATCATTCCTTTTGCTAAACAGTGCTTGATCATGTGTAAGTATCGACGTTTGAGCTCTGTTTCACTAGTACTGTTTGTTGCTAATAATGTATTTATTTGGATCTGATCCTATATGTTTTTGTACTTTTAGTGTTAATTTTATGTTAGAGTATTGTTGTGATCAGCAGAGATGTCTGCGCTTTTCATGCCCTCCTCTTTCTTTCAATCAACTTTGGTCCAGCGATGCTCACTTGATCTACCACTTGATTTAAGCCTTTAAGGCCACGTTCACTTTTACCGCATATGTTCATACTGGTTCAGCGCATAGTTCTTCAATTGACATCTAACGTGTAAAATTGCATTTATATCGCCTACGTAACGTTTTGGCTTTGATGAGGTGATTAATCATTGTAATCTCAATGTTTTATTACATGACTGTCTTTGCAGCCATTTCGCAGAATCTGTAAAGTTGTTTATGATTTATCTCTAGAGATGAAGAGTTATATCGTTTTGTGATGAAAATGAGGCTGGTCATTGGGGAGGAACATTACTGTAATGTGACCAGATTACATGTGACTTTGAAAGCACAGTAGATTACAAACGTTTTTCTAAATGCAACGTAGACGTTTCTTTTTAACTCATACGTGTGCAAATTTAAGTCCTTTACCGTTGGCAATTGTTCTTTCCCCGCTGAATCCATCGCTAAACTACTTGGTTTTAGTGCTGTCGAAGTACAATAATTGGGTAATCTGCAAGCGTTAGTTTAAAGACTTGCATACGACTTCAAATGTTTTCGAAGTTCCTCAAATTCACCATTTTACGCGGTTTATCTCAATCAAATTATTAACAGAGAATGCTCCAACTGGTTTAAAAAAAGCAAATCGGTACACATTGACTTGGAAGTCCCCGTTTACTAGAAGTGTGAAATGGCTAAGTGGGATTCCTAAAGAATTCGCTTTTACGAAAGCGTTTACGGATGTACCAAATGTCTCACGGGCCAGGCGGTACCGAGGCGTAGTGCAGCGGTACAGTCGCGCAATGTTTGATAAATCTATTCGCGATGCTCAGCCTTCAAAGCAGATTATTTGGAACAGCTGGCTGCTGCACCCCGCATTTTGACCCTACCTAACGGATCGTGAGGTGCCAACGAAACAAACCAAGCATGCGCCCTCGCACTGCTGATAGTGTGCGCTTGCGCTGGCGATGTTACTGCACCTGCCACTGATGTAGACTACATTGCGCGCAATGTAGTAACGGCTCTTAGCAACCAGCCTGGTGCTACGATCCTTCTATTTATACTTGTTTTAGAAGTTTCACCTTCCTACGTTAGTACTTGTGTATACCTCATTACTTTTTTGTGCGTCAAATCTGAAGCGGAATTCCGAATTCAAAGTCTTTGTGAGCGGCATACTTAATAACTTCCTCTCCTGCGCCACGAGAGACGGCCTTTCTCAAGCAAAACTCGACCTAATAACCAGTGAAAGTGTGGCTTTGATTAGTTAGGTATTGTGGCGTTTGGACGGCGTAGCAGAAGGTCCCAAAGACATGCTATCCCCGGAGGTGGCAATTAAAGGTGCGAATCATCCCGGATGGATCTGGCAACGTTCCAAAAGGTGGGTGTGGCTGCACCTATTGCGCCGGCAATTGGCGTATTAATCCAAACCGTGCGTACAAGAATGAAAGCCTTTTACAAAATGAAGAAAAAAACCATATGCTGATGTTCAAAAGGCGGAAAAAGAAGCGCAGCAGTTGCACACAGTTTAAACAAAAAGATATGTTGGAAAGCTTGCAATACATTGTTTATCATTTAAATCCTCTTTACAAGATGGTGTACTAAAAATTGAGAGATGTGGGTGGCATTACATAGCAATATTGTAAATGTTTAAAAATTCTCCATTTTATTAAATGATTTCCTGCAGTTATTTGGATTCAACTTAAAACGGCAATTGCGTATTGTATCCATATTTTTATATTTGAACATCTTAACGACAGTGTTTTATGAAACAAATATTTGCCCAGTTTTCCAAGTGCTTCTTTATCGTTTTTGTTTACTCTAACTCCCATAATCAGTTCATCTGTATTGCGGTACAGACTGATTTAAGCCAATTTGAAAAGTTGCCACATTATCGGAGATGGCTCGCGCCCTTAATTGTTACCTCTGGGGATAGGGGCATGTCTTTCTCAGACAATCTGACGGAGCTTCCTCAATACTTCATACGAAGTTTCCTTCAAGTCACCTGCGGAAGAT